GAGAGAGAGAGAGAGAGAGAGACAGAGAGACAGAAAGAGAGAGAGAGAGAGAGAGACAGAGAGAGTGAGCGAGACAAGAGGGATGGGTCGACTGAGTCAACCGTGTCATTCACCGCTAAGAAATGTTTGAAAACCTTGTGCTCTGACAGTGTGCAATGTCCATGTAGACACACACACACACTCACACACACACTCACACACACACTCATAGAAAGGTTGTTGTGGACCAGCGACTTGCTCTCTGGATGTGCCTCTCTTTCAGTCCACTGCCAATAAACACGGTGTTGGACATTAAATAAAACAAGAGGCTCCTTTATAGCCTGGGTCACGCTGGGTAGGATTTATCAGACCATGTTGTGTCTGTGTGTCTGTGTGTGTGTGTGTGTGTGTGTGCTTAGCCGGGAAACATCTTCACTACTTTAAACAATGAGCATGTTACATGGTGTACTTTTTAGTTCACTGCAGCCCATTTTAACAGACTTGCAGCCATCAGAGAGCGTTATTAGCACTTTACTGAAACTCTCTCTCTCTCACACACACACACACACGCACACGCACACGCACTCACACACACACCTCTCCTTTACAAATCCATTCACACAGCATGGGTGGAGTAACTGGGTTATTCTACGCAGCAGCTGTAACATGACACAGTTTATCTGAATGCGTTGTAAAGCTGAGACAAGAGGCTGGTTTAAGGAGCTGAATGGAGGAGGACATGAGTGGAAGTGGGACAGAGCAGACTATTGATCAGTCAGTGTGTCCCTGCTCACCCTTCACACAGAACAAAACAGAACAAAATGCCACAAATAACATGGAAAGCTGAAATCTAGATGATCAAGAAAGGACTTTTTAAATTCCATCCTATTACTACCAATGATGCTATTGTGCCTCTATAGGCAGAATAACCTGGTCATTGTGACAGAATAGGACATTTTAGGGCTTGTTTACCATCACTGAATTCCCAACATTCATACCTTGCAGTCATTAAAAAAAGGTTTGCCTGCTTGGCTTTGGCTTCATGTAAACAAACCCCGCTAATAAATCTAATTTAATTAACCTTCGCTTGTCTGGCCTTGAAGAATCTCAACACTAACCACCACAGTCACGTCTCCGCCCTCCTCCATCACCTAGGCCCTCTATAGAAACACAGTCCTCTTGTCTGGACATTTGGAAGATATTTGTAAAGCTCAGGACACATTTTCCATCAACTGGCTGTAGAATAAGGCAATGCAGATTTCCACTATAAAAACAATGAAACATTTGATTTAGCATTTCATTTAGTTCTTTATGTAAATCCAGTAAACACGTATTGTGTTTTGCAGAAGTTTTTTTTAGGGCCAACCTAAAATCAACACACGGCAATTCTTAGAAATATAATTTCTCACAAGACAAAGAAATGTTTATAACAATATCGTGACATTTACCTCCAACAAAGAAATCCCTAAAGGAAATGCAAATCTATCTGCTTACTTATCATCTGACCCTATTAGAGAATGCTGGTATCATACTGAACCAAAGGGCCTCCGCTTGAATGCCAAAGACGGTTCATACCATTCCAACTGATTTACTGTGGTGAGCCCACGCTGCCATACATTAAAGTGTGCATCTCTCTAAAGAAAGGGATTTTAGCCCCAATCGCTCTTCTTTTTGTAATGCCAGTGAAATCCGCCACGCTCTTATCTCCTGTGAGCGTGGCGCAGTGTCATTGTGCCACAGGAACAGGCCGTATCTCACAGCCCCGAGGCCGTTGTCCCACTTCAGCTGTGAGGTCATTCGGCGGTCAACACTGACACAGGAAGTCCTGTTTGTACAATCACCTGTGAATGTGTTGTTGTGGTTTGATGATTATTTCTCATACAGCAGAGTTACAGTGAACATCTCTACATGCTAATATTTCCGGTAAACCTCACAAAATAAAGCAACAAGAAAGTTTATAACGATATTGTGACAAATTGCACTCACTTTCCCAAAAAACTAAAAGCTTGAAAAGACCTTGAGAAGCGAGACGGGAGAAAAAAGGGATTCAGACAGACACCACTTCAGGGGGTTTGGACCAAAACTGAAAGAACGGCAGGCGTTGGTTCTCGTCCAACTCTCAGTTTCTCCACGGTGCAGGGCATTCATCATCATTATCACGGCTATTCAGCGGACCTAATTCCCTTTAAAATCAACTGTCAATTCTCATTTGGCTGCCCTCGACATCTTACCGGCTTTGAATTCTCCCATGAACTGGATCTAGGGCGAGTTATCTGGTAAACAAGAGCCAAGCAGAGCCGTGGTCTCTCCTTGTTTGGAACCTACTGGGGTTTGCATCCAAAACCCAACTACCATTTATGAGCTCTAAAAGAGACTTAATTGTGGATCCATGACCAATCAAAGTGAACACCGTCTAAACCAGAAGTGCCTCTCTCTGTTCACTGCGACCCACACACTGCGAAGTAGGCGCAAAAAGCGAACGCAGCAGCGACTTAGCGACATCTCCGTCAATGAGGAAACGATTCTACCTAAACCACATACATCTATCGCATTCACACGCTAAACATTCTAAATGCATTTTCTTTAAAGAATCCAACAAAAGTCTAAACTAAATCCAGGAGATGAGAGTGAATATTTGGACACGGTGAGTACGAGCGGGCAGGAGAGGTGGGAGCAGTTGCATCTTCTCCGAACGCGAGTGCAGCTGTGATGTGATGCTGTGATGATGTGATGTAATGTGATGTGATGCTGTGATGCTGTGTGCTACCGCGGTCGGCCAGGCCCTGTCCGGACTAGATTACATAACCCAGGATTTTCCCTCCATCCCTCACTCGTACAGTGAAGTGCAGCAGGCACAGATGGTCGCCAGGGCTTGGGCACACATCACCACCGTGCCGGGCGAGGAGGGGAGGAGCGGGTGTCACAGGGTAAAAGTGATGGAGGGAATGAATAAAGTGAGGTAAATAAAGATGGATGGACTGACTGACACACACACAGATGTTGCAGCCAGACTAATGTTTTGGTGCAGTTTGGCCAGTAATTGCTAGATAGATTGAGCTTCCAGAGGGATCAGCCTATGCAAAGGCGGGATTAAGCTAACGAGGTGATGCATCTGCTCCATGATTGTGTGTAAATGCCTAACTCGTCATTTCACAGAGGACAACACAGCCACAACAGTCCGATGCTGTGGCTGGTACATCTATAGATGATCTAAGGGGTAGAAGAATAAACAGGGACTAAACACAGGAGCCTGAGCCTTAATCCATCATCTGAACCACCATCTGGGGTCTTCACTCCCAGGCTGAAGTAGCTAACTGCTCAAAAGCCGCTTATGTGAAATGTGAAGAGTCCCTACATGTTGTGGTGAATCACTGTCAACATGCCAGTCGGTGGCCAGAAACCATTTTAAGGACAATTTAAAAATGCACTGTGCCTCCGGGGACAAGTATTAAAAGTTAATTTTCTGCTTAATATTTTGGTAATGCATTCCCAATCCCTGGAGCGAGAGCAGCCAAATGAAAGTAGGCTAGCACTTTGATATCACTGCTGCTGGTGTCTGCACACTGAACCCTTCATCAGCATGTGAGGAAGACTGTCCTGACCTCACAATGTGTGTGTTGTGCAGTTTCACCTCTGTAGAGTCACATGTGAGGCACCGACAACAGAGTAAAGAAAGAGTGAAAGGACCAGAAGGAAATGCTCAGAAGAGGTCGGCGAGGGGAACAGTGTGTGTGTGTGTGTGTGTGTGTGTGTGTGTGTGTTGGTGGGGGGGGGCAGGGACAGGAGAAAAGGACGCATTTCAAAAAAAAATAAAAAATATTGAAGGTACCCAATTTTTCATTATACGTCATCTCCAAAAGATACAGTATTTGGGGGGAAAACACACATTTTTCAGACTGCACCAGATGCAATATGTTTTTAACCCCTCAAAGACAGTGATATGAAAACATCTGAAAACATCTGGGTCGTTACAAGGACGGTCCTCGACTGAAGAAATCTAAGTCGACCAAAACGACCGATTAGTCGACTAATCGAGGGGTTATAACTAGGTATGCCCAAAATATGAAATGATTTCTCTCAAAATGGGATTTATTAATAACTTTGTTGAGGTGTAAGCCTGACTTATGTAGGCCTGTACCTATTCATGTTCCTAATCCATGTCTTTACTAAAAATCATTTAAAACAACGACAAACTCAAAATAAAATTCCTGCTTAAATTAGAACTAAAATGAGTCCAAATCTCAATTCAAAGTTCACAATCCATTATTAATATAGCCAATGGAATATCAAAAACTTATGGAAAAACATCACAATTTCTCAGATCCCGAGGTGTTTAGCTCAACCAACAGTTTTATATCATCATACTGTAGGAGCTGAAAGCAGCAGATGTTTAAAAATGACTCAACAGATGAATCAAAATGCTTATCATTTGATCATTTGATTATGAACTAATCAACCAAATGGCTAATTGTTTGAGCTCTAGAAAGGTCAGCGACAGGAAGAACGTGGAAAAGAAACAGCGTCAGAAACAAGATGCAACACTTCTGCGTTAGACACAATATGTTATGAATTAATTTCCACGTTTTACCACCTATGACTCAAATAAAACATTGCGTGTATTCAAGTGTGACATACTGCAATTATTGAATTTACTTTGATCAGGGAATTACCTATTCCTGTCATAAATTACACCGCTTTAAATAGATAAATTCATATAAAAATAAATAAAACAGGGTGCTAATAATAGAAGGTTAATTCATGGCCGCTATATGTTGCATATTTAAATTTCCTAGCATTTCATTATGTTAGTTTTTTAGACAGTAGTAAATGAAGTCAGGTGTGTCTCAAGAAGTCCCCACTATGTCTCACTGCTCCGTCTGAATGTGTTTCTAAATGTGCTGATGAATATCACTAAAGATCATTCGCACAACATATATCAGCAAACACCTGTACTCTGCCTCACGGTCTCATTTTCCAGGAACACAAACTGGAGCTTTAAAACAGGTCAGCGTATACATTACCTCCATGGCGAGCGCCGCAGTCTGCTGGTCGTAGTGATTCAGTATGTTGGGCATGTAGGTGGAGTTGTAGGGCAGCCCCTGGCACATGCGTAGGGTTATGGGCTCACAGGTGAACAGACTGTGGCTCTCCTCCACCGCATCCATGGGGATGGCAGCGCACGTCGTCAACATAGACACCGACAGCACCCACAGGAGCTCCATGACCGGTCCGTACAGCAGGAGAGAGGAAGAAGGGTTGAACCCAGTGAGCCACTGGCTCATTCAGCAGGATGGGGAAATCACAGGGCTTGAGGAGCGTCCGGGACTGTCTGGTAGTCTCTTCCTCCTCTTCACCTCACAGAGAAACCGCGTGGGTCGGGCGGCGGAGTCCAACACGGCCATGACTGAAGCTGGCTGCATCCATCACCGTGGGGAATCCGGTCAGCGGCAGCAGAGTGTCACAAGACCTCCATAGTCCGGGAAGATGCTGTGGTCCTTTAAGATGCCGCGGTCCTTTAAGATGCTGTGGTCCTTTAAGATGCCGCGGTCCTTTAAGATGCTGTGGTCCTTTAAGATGCTGCGCCGTGACCGCCGGCACTCCTCCCTCTCCTCCCTCGACGGACAGCGGTGAGGCTTTGGAGAGAATAGTGATGATGACCACCGATGAAGATGATGTTCAACCTGCAATCTGTAAAATAAAAATATATTTTGTATCAGGTCACCAGTAGCGGATTATTCATAATCTCGTATGTTTTGTCGTAAAGAAGAACAGGTTGTATTTTTTTTTAATGAAAACTAGAGAAATAATGGGCTGCAACTGGAGAACACAAAAGGCTGTTTGCAGAGGGTTGGTGTTCCTCTCACTGTGGTGGATGCTTGTGTAGATGAATGATGACATTAACAGAATTAATTAACAGCAATATATCATGCTAGAGACTACCAATTACAACAACACCACTACACACAGGGTAATAGCTAAATAAACATTTACGTGGGAATTTAAAGCTGTTTTTGAGGTCGTTCATTGAGTGACATAATTTACGATATTATTTATGGTATTGGTGTATTTTAGTTGTGTAACCTTGAGTTGTAGACATTTTTTTTCTTTTAGCCTTTTTTCTTTTTCTTTATTTGAACTATATTTGTTCCATTCGGTTATTGCTACATTGACATAACAGTACACACCCATAACAACCCAATACATTACAACACAAATCAATAAATACTAATATCTTGTACACCTGTCCAACAAGCCCCGCTACATTCTAAAGGTTGAGTATTCTACATACATATATATATATATATATATATATATATATATATATATATATATATATATATATATATATATATATGCATTACTGCGCCCGTTAGTCCACCTGAGCGTCCACATTACCGGGCTCCTCCTTTAGCTCCATAAATGAACGGCTCCTCATAAATGCGCGTGTAGCTAGTTATAAGTAACGGAACCGGGACCTCCTCGCGGTTGTTTGTTTGTCTCTGCCAAACTACAGAAAAAAAGGTTCAATACAACACAATGGCAAGCAGCGCAGCGGAGACAAAAGATGACGGTTAGTTGATCCTAAATGATAGTAACCGTGGCATATGTAGCCAGCGGACCGGTGTTCTAACGTTAATTCACCGCACCGAGCCGGGCTGCTCGTGAGAAACAGTCCGGTGGTAAATGTAAGCTAGCTGTTAAACTGGTTAAATTAAAGGCAACTTTACCTGAATATTGTGCCGGAAATTCACGTGTAGCAACGGGGTCTCCGCGGCTCCTCGAGTTGGTAACAATGAGTGAATGTCCCCCTTCCAGCACCCTCCTCCCGTCTCCTCCTGTCCTCCCCCTCCTCTGTCCGCCTCCCCCCTTCTGCTCCCCCCTTCTCCGCCGAGCGTTAAGCCCGCGATATTTCAAAAATGGCTTCCAGACAAGACTCTAAACAATAAAAGCTTCATGAACGACAAACGAGACGAGAGCCAGGAACAGAAGACAGTAAGCAGTAGTGGAAAATAAGTAGTATAGCACTGCACCTATTTTTGAAGCAAGTATTTACACCTTATTATATCTACTTCACTATAAATATCAGTGTTAAATTACGACTTTTCAATTCAATTTTTTATTCAATGTTATTTTCATAGCCCAATATCTTGAACCACAAACTTGTGCAATAGATGTCATGTGTACAGAATGAACAATATAATACAATTACAGAACAGTCATGAAACGATGCAAATGAGTGGTAACAGTAGTAGCACTAATAACAGCAGCAGTGGATATAATATAATGGAAATAAATAATAAAACAGCAATAGTAATAGAAATGTGACTAATAATAATGATAGCAGCAGTGTCAGCAGGGCCTCGGCAGCAGGCAGAACCCCGGTCCAGATAGAACCCCGATCCAGAGAGAACCCCGGTCCAGAGAGAACCCCGGTCCAGATACAACCCCGATCCAGAGAGAACCCCGATCCCTGATCCCTGGAAACCTGTGAGGAGAGAAAGCACAAAGACTCTGAAGTAAAGTCAGTAATGAGCATTAATGAGACATGAATTCATACAGAAGGAGAGAGGAGGAGGAGGAGAGACTCCTCTACATGTATTATCACTCTACAGTTATAGCCACACATTATTTACATTTCAACATTATTCATAAAACTAACAAGTCTATAAAATATAGTGCATTGATAAAGATTGCCAGCCTCAACAGTAAGATGGTAGACCTGTTTAATATTCCCTGATGCATCAATATTGACAATTTTAATGTAAGTAATATCACCAACAGGGGGAATATTGTGACGTGTGAATCATATCAGATGAATATAAATCCGAATAACAGCTTATGTCTTCTATGTGCTTTTTGCCATAGTATATTCTACACTATTACTTTGGAGGCCCGATGGCTGGTTTCCGGTCTGGCTCCGTGTGTGTTTTGTTTAACTTGACGCAGCTTTCAGTCTTTCTTCGCAGCAGGTTTTCTGTCTTCTTTGCGCGCCACCGTCCATTCGAGCACGAGCAGGGCTTTCTGCTTTTCAATGGGAAACTTCTCAGACCGGTGGGGCTGAGTGCTCGAGCTGTTCGTCTGTAAAATGGATCTGAAACATTTTTCATTATTAATATTGGCCTGCAGCAGCGGTTTGAACTCAATGCAACAGGCGCATTATAGGAAAAAAAACACAGAGCCAACGCCTACATTATTACGCCTTACACAAGGTTATATTACTACTACTGCTACTGCAACTACTTCTACTACTACTGCTACTGATAATACAAATGATTAATAACTGCCATTTTTCTACTTACATGTCTCATGTATTTAGTGTTTTAAAACACACATAGTGAATGAATGTGGAATTCATTTTTAAAGGCCCAAGCTGTAACAGGTATTCTCTGCAGGATCAGTGTATCAGAGGCAGGTGGTCTCCATAGCTGCAGCGTCAGGCCTTCTGCACTACCACTGTTTGTCATCATTAGAGCCAGTGGGGCCTGCACACTCCACACTCTCCACTGGTTTGCTTTGCAGCCCCCCCTGTGTGTGACAGGCTGTGGCAGCCAGTCCATGTAAGGAGAATACGCTCACTGTTACTATGGGAACAAGTAAACTGTGCACAGGGAAAGGGGAAGAAGGAGAAAAGAAGAAGAGTTGGGTGTACGGACACAAAGGCCATCAGGAGTTTGCACTCAGAGAGAGTGTGTAGGGTTTAATTCCTTCAGAGGAGAAGTGATGGTGAGTGAAATACCAGAGGAGTGTGTTGTGCAGTTCTGATGTTAACTCTTTAAACACTGCAGTGTTTCGTGTGTGTCAACTGGACTTCTCTCATTTAGGCTTCGGAACTGTTTTACTGTAGACTTTATCCATTTTAAAGGGACAGTTCACCCGACAATATAACAGGACTAAGGACTCAAGATAGTCCACAGACCTTGTTCTGTGGACACCAATTCCATCCATCCATCCATCCATTTTCCTCCGCTTATCCGGGGTCGGCTCGCGGTGGCAACAGGCCAAGCAGGCCGACCCAGACCTCCCTCTCACCGGCAACATGTTCCAGCTCATTCTGGGGGATCCCGAGGCATTCCCAGGCCAGCTGGGAGATGTAATCTCTCCAGCGTGTTCTGGGTCTTCCCCAGGGTCTCTTCTCAGTTGGACGTGCCTGGAAAACCTCCAGTGGGAGGCGTCCAGGAGGCATCCTAATTAGATGCCCGAACCACCTCAGCTGACTCGTTTCGACGCGAAGGAGTAGCGGACACCAAAACAATCCAGATAAATAGCACTAACAGAGAAAATATGTATTTTTGATTTGGGGTGAACTGTCCCTTTAAGTGAGATAATAGCTGGGATGTTATTGAATTTAATATTGTTAGAAGGAGGATGAACATTAGGCTTCAAGCCCTCTGGCAGATGCTGCATGTTTCACATACACTCAACATGTAAGAAACTAGTAGCAAACATGTGAATAAAGTTTTGGGTGCGTCACCTTTAACCAGCAAAGATGCCTCTTGGTGCCAGAGTGCCACCGAGGTCATCTGCTAGCTGTGCTAAGATGAAGACCACACGGAGCACCTGGACTCCTCTCAACCACCCGGTGTCCAACAGCAAGGTACGGTCGCTCATCTGCACCAGTGCCCTCAGACAAATACTGTACATGTTCCTCACAATCATAGTCATAGAGTACAGCTTTCATCTTGTGAATAGTGGAAAAAAGTACTCTGATAAGTACTTCAGTAGCAACACCACAGTGTAAAAATACTCATCACAAGTAAAAGCCCTGCAGTCCAAATGTTACTAAAGTAAAAGTACAGAAGTATCATCAACAAAATGTACTAAGAGTATCAAAAGTGAAAGTAGTAAACGTAAATGGCCTCTGTGAAAGACATATTATTATATATGACATTATTACATTATTAATAATAGAGCATCAATATGTAAGCAGCATTTTACTGCAGCTTTTCAAAGTGGAGCTCCTTTGAACTACTTTGTAAATAAATGAATAAATCAGAAGATAATTAATATGCAGGTAAGAAGAAAACATTTTTCACCTGAAATCTGTATATATCTTTAGACTTTTCTCTTTTTTGTGGTGACATATTAGATAACCTTTCCCCCATAAGAGCCTTGGAAATAAATGTACTTAGTTACATTCCAGCCTCGGCGACGTACTCACACATTTGTACTTCATGCAGATACTTTTAACAACAACCATCAGATTCAACTTCACTATTTTATTCAGAAGCATTTTTGAGTTAACCAAGTTCACTTAGTGTTTCCTTAAAAGATTGGGTATTTGTGAAATATTCAGTGAAGTGAACTCGAGAAGTTACATTGTGATGAGTCATAGATTTGTGTCAGTGTGAGGAAGACCAACATTAAGCCTCAAAGCCCAGAAAGAGCCATCACACAGCATCAACCCGAGCAGAATGAAGTGACTCCGTCAGTAACGGGCTGACAGGAAGTCTTACTGCATCTTCAGAGTTCTTAAACAGGTCTTAATAAACCGCTGTGACTCACTAGCAGGACCCAGAAGCTCATCTCTTTGCTCTTCATTTAAAATATCTCGTCTCATTCGCACCACCATCATCACCTTTGTTGTTCCTGACAGTGCAGTTCGATGTGATCACTAACCTTTTTCACTTTCCTCTTCTTTCTCAGGTGTTTGAAGAGAGGCGGAACCTTCTGGCAAAGTGGGTGAGTTAAAGGGACAGTTCACCCCTAAAATCAAAAATACATATTTAACCTCCTCCTTGTCGTGCTAGTTATCAATCCAGATAGTTTTGCTGTGAGTTGCCTGGTGTTGGAGGTATCAGCTGTAGAGATGTCCTCTCCGATATAATCGCATTATACGGCGCTATGGAACTGTGCTAGAAAGAAAATAGTTTTTGGCGGTTTGAGCACCACAAGCCGAGTGTCATATAGTTATAGTGGAGAGGAGGCAGACATCTTTACAGCTGATCTCTCCAACACCAGGCAACTCACACCGACACTATCTACGTTGTTAAATATCAGTACATTTAAGAGGAAAAATGTATGTTTTTGATTTTGGGGTGAACTGTCCCTTCAAAATGATGATGATGATGAACAGAAAAACACTAAATGTAAATCCTTGACTGTGCAGTGAGCTCAGTGTGAGTTTAGAAACCAGTCTCTGAGGAGCCCATCATCCGTCCAGCTCCTTTCACCTGACACGGTCCATGTGGAGGAACTCCGTTCGTGTTCTCTCACGTCTTTATGTCAGTTCGACAGGTGGTCTGACGGCCAGAGGAAGGCGGTGCTGCAGGACTTAGTGCTGAGCTGTTCGGTGGAGCAGCTGAGCTTCCTGAGCGTCAGCGTGAGCACACGGCTCCCCCTGCAGGCCGCAGACCTCTCCTGCCTGCTACCCAGAGCCCTCTGCCTCTACCTCTTCTCATTCCTGGACCCACGCAGCCTCTGTCGATGTGCCCGGGTACACAAATCGTACCATAATATATATATGTGTGTGTGTGTGTGTGTGTAGAGTTGTCAGCATGGATGACTCAACTGAGCCAGCTGAGAATCACTCACTTTTTTTTCTTCTTCTTCTGCGAGCAGGTGAGCTGGCACTGGAGGAGCATAGTGGAACTGGACCAGCTGTGGATGCCCAAGTGTGTGAGGCTGGGCTGGTGCATCAGCTTCTCCCCCGGCCCGTTGGAGCAGGGCGTCTGGAAGAGACACTACATCCAGACTGTGCAGGAGCTGCAACTCACCTCGCTGCAGGTCGGGAGATCAGATCCAGAGCCAGCTCACCGGTCACATATCAAGTACTATGGCTCAGGACAAACCCTCATGCAGAACAGAGCGATGTTACAGTGTAATGTCCACCTCCAGGCCACCTCATCCCAGCAGCAGTATGTGGTTCCACACGTTTCCGCCGTCAGCAGGAGACGTGAAGATCCGTCCGGACCGGCCTTCATGGGTGAGGAGCCTTCAGCGCCCATCACCCCATCAGCTGGAGGCATCTCCAGGACGGGATCAAGAGGAGAGAAGCAGCCGTGGAGAGACTCTGACAGACGTCCCACAGACACACTACGCTTCAACTACCTGGACAACCTGGACCCCAGTGAAGAAGCGCTCCGAGCGTGAGGCTGCACTTCTCCAACAGGCCGTCAGAGTTGGTCAACTTAGACAAAACCTGAAGGAAAAAAAAGATCATGTTAAGCAAAAACAAACTTACCAATTGCTGAACTTCATCATGTTATTAATGGATGTGATGAGGAAGATTACTATTAAGTAGTGTTATTAATTTATGGACATAACATTAGCACTCTGAGACTTGAATATATATATATGAGTCCTTTAGCCAAAGAGAAGTTTCTGTAGAGTTTAACAGTCTGTTTTTCTCCAGACGCTCAATAAAGTCAATGTGTGAGTCTCAGATAATAAGAAATGTAGAAACATAGTTTTGGTGTTTGCATTACATATTCTAAAACTAGGATTTCTGTTTCTAACAATGCATAATAAGCTGAAAAGAAAAGACAACTGTGTGAATAAATCAAATGTAATGTTCCACAGTGACTTAAAAAACCCAAAGAAGTGTTGAAATATGTGAAATAATTTAACAGAAATCCAAATATGCAACTATAAGATCAGACTTTTTCTATCCCTGCAGCACTGAGAGGTATCAGGACAAAGAACTATTTTAGTAAAATCATTTAAAAAATGAAATTTAAAAAGCTATATACAATATATCCATTAAAATACTATAGAGTTTCTAAGCAAATTGTGCAAATATTGTACAAAAGAGGTCCAGCAGTGCAACTCTGGTTGAGGCCACTATGTGTAATAATCAGTACACTATAGGTACATAATGTAATAATAAAGTATATCATGTGCAGTAGATATAATGTACACATTTACTATAAAGTAATATTACAACTCAACTGAACTGTGTGCCAGCAAACGCAGCAGAAAGGAGGAATGAAGCAATCTGCTTTCCAGCAGAAGAAATAGACAGAAAAAGTCCAAAGAGGGTTTAAAAATGTTGGTGCTCCAACGGAGCTCAAGGTGTAGCTGATAGTGCACACAACCGAAATATGAAACATGAAGGTGCAGTATTAATTCAGGGCTTTCTTTGGTTCATTATTTGCAGAGCAACGGCCACACTTTGCTCTTTGACCCCTCCTTGTGACTGATTGATATGTGTGAATTCTCTGCAGACCCACCGAAGCTCCAGCTGCTCACCGACTCTACTGTCTCTCTGCAGGGCAGTGAACAGCGGAGCCTCCGCCCGCCGCAGCAACGCATGGAGGCCAGGCGACGGCAGCCAGAGGACACTGTCTGAGGCGCATTACAAGCTGCGCAAAGCCAAGTCGCTGGTAAACCTCTCCATCCATCACCACCGCCAACACAACCCCTCTGTGACTGTGACCCCCTTGTCTGAGTTAAAGGGGGTGGGGGACTCTCTGGAGACTGTGCAACCAGCAGGCATCATGCATTATGGAGCAGCGTTTACACAGAAAAAGCATGTTAATGAGGAGCTGCTCAGAGAGGGAGCTGAAACCAAATTATGCTGATGATGGGGTTCGAGGGAAGAGGGGGTGGGGGTGAGATAGAGGACACTGTGGCATTTAATATTCAGACTTTGATGAAATCTTCATACATACTTTTTTTGCCTGGATACAGGAACTAATATGAAATATAAGTCACTACATCTGGAATCATGTTGAATTTTGGTTATCAAAGTAACTCCAGTTCTCTGATAACTTTTGTCTCTCACCTCCTTCAGATGTTCCTCAGCTCCAACTGCAGACCCCAACATCCTCCTCTTCCTCCTCCTCCTCTTCCTCCTCCTCTTCATCATCCTGCTCTTCCTCCTCCTCTTCATCATCCTGCTCTTCATCATCCTCCTGAGACCCAATCGCGACCATCTTGGGCGTCTCACAGTCTCGACCTCCCCGTCACCAAGGAGACCGCCATGGGCATGCTGCGCCTCACCCGGTGGAACGCCGGGATCCGTCCGGGGCCGGTGAGGTCGGCGGTGCCCCGGCTGAGCGTGGAGGCGCTCAGGGCGTCCCGGCGCTCCCACCGGAGTGCTCCCAGTAAGCAATCCCAGCTCCTCCACTTCCTCTGGGCTGAGTATGATGTAACCACACGGCAAGATATTCAGGAGTTTAAAATGACTGATTCTGCAAGAAAAGTCGCAGACGGAGTGCAGTTTGTGACCCTATTAGAAATGTTTCATGTCTTGTTACTAACTCCCGAGTGGAGCTAAATTATTGATTCTGAGTATTTTAGTTGTTGTTTTTTAAATTTAAAGCAAAGCATTAGAAGATTTGTTTAGGAGGCATCTAACGGGTAATATGTAATATTGGGTAATATGTAATAACGGGACATCTGTTTCTTCTTTTATATCTTCTTTTAATAGAATATCAACATCTTTGTTCATAAAGTCAAACAAAACATGACAATTCAAATCCGACAGTATAAAGTCTTAAATGCGTTAATATGCATCATCAAAGAGGAACAAAAATGTTTCAAATTCAAGTTACAATGAAATGAAAAATGAAGTGATATCAGAGAGTGTGCCTTAAAGTTCAGAAGTTGACATGTCCACATACTAATGCTTCTGTTTAGGACTTACAACCTGAAGTGGAAACATCACTAATGAGGTGAATGTTTCTATCAATCAGCTACACCACTGTCCTGGACTGGGTCTGCTCCACACACACATCAGCAGGACGTCAGAACCACAGCTTCAGGACCAGATTCACAGCCACAGCTCTACAGTCGGAAGGTGTAGTTTGATGTATATTTGTACATGGAATGCATTCTACAAATACTATTCATGTGCATGTTATTGAGTAAAGGCAGCACTGGATGGAGATGAGGAGAGACATTCTGATGACATCTTGATGTTTCATGTCATTATTATAAGAGTAGACTTGACTCCTAATGTAGAACTTTAAATAAGTTCCCAGGGTTTCACACAAGGAACAAAACGCTTCTTGAAGAAGAAAACCACTCATGAACATGGAAAGATTTTGTTAAAGAGGCAGTTTTTAGCACAAGCTGTAAATAAAGTTAATAGCCTCGTCGTTATTATAGGACGGCATCTTATAGAATATTTTAACAGTTCTGCTCAGTAATGATGTCTCACATTTAAACATAGCGTATAAAGGATAGGATGACACGAAAATGCTAAACACTCGTCTGTGAATATTTCACATCAAAACTGATGTGAAATATTGCAACAGTTGCATCACTTTTTCAGTAAAAGATTTGAATAGACTCATACAGCCAGAGACCCAACGAGGATCAGAGCAGCGTCCAGTCTGTCTGAGCTCAGCTGTTGTATAACCTGAACTACTGTAAGATAATAAATTGATGACTCTACTTTTAGCAGAATGCTCTGGTAAGCAGTTACACAGTGTGTATGTCTAGGGCTTTTATTGTGAAAGGTAAGAACAGGATGAGTGGATCTGGTCTGTGCTGCTTTTGTAAAGATTGGAAGGTCCTGGTTCAGGACTACTGAGCCTCTGTGTTGTTGTACAATATATTGTATGTTTTCAATATGTCTGTTTAACACAACGTGATTGGTTGACATCTTTATTTGCAATGTGAAAGCTCAGAAAAAATGTAACTTATTACTAAAAAAAAAAAAATCACGCCACTTTTTTGCAGCGTCTGGTATGAACAAAACCACTCTAGTATGTCAAAAACAGTTTGCAAAAATTTATCAACTTGCAAATGAATCGCATAAAATACCCCCTAGTATGTGAAGACCTTAACGGTGCTTGTTTTTGATAGCTTTGAGCAGATGTAATTGTTTAAATGTCCACTGTGGCTGTTTGGATGAGCTGGTCCTCTCACAGTCCTGATGATGATTACAATAAATGAACAGTTCTTTCATTTCAAGCTAGTATAGGCTGTCCTGTGTGGAATGTAACAAAGTAAAGTTACTAAAGTACTGTTTCAAGTACACATTTTTACTTGTACTTTACTTGTGCATTTCTTTTCATGCTTTCTACTTCTACAGTGTACTTTTTACTTCACTACTTTATTTGATAACTTCAGTTATTTTACAAATGAATTATTATTTTTTTTTTTTACATACAAAGAGCGAATAAAGTATTTTTGTTATAACTTAATTACAGCCTGAATGATAATTCAACTAAAAAAACGTTTTTTCCTTATTTGTGCAAAACTGTGGATTTATTGCTTTTTCCTTTCATTGTATGAATAATAAATAAGTTCAATGAATATTTGGAGCTATGTGCATTAAGTATGACTTTTAATACTCATGGTTCATTTACCTGATAATACTTTCACTTCAGCGATATTTTCAAAGCAGGACTCTTACTTGTAGTGAAGTACTTTTACTGTAGTAAAAGATCAGAATACTTCCTGCAAGTAAGAAAAGCAAAGGAAACATATTCCGTATAAGAAATGTACCACCTTTATTATCCAATCCACACATCCCATTCATAACGCAGAACAAAGCCAAAGCACTTTATCAACAAAAATATTAAAACAATAACTGTGAGTTTAAGACAAACAGCTGATTTTGTCTGTGTTCAGAACATCATGCATTCAACACACAGTAGCAACAGCCGGGCAGAGAGAGAAGCTTCTTTTGAACTGCAAACATCAGCATCATACGTACACATCGGTCCAAGTCTGCTCCGTGTACTTCTACCTCATCGCGTATAAAAACATGGCATTCAAAGTATGCGCGCACTCACACATGCATATAAATTACTAGACACAGGCGGCCCAAACAGACCTAAATGAATGGTAGATACCCAACATGTTAAATCAATGTTATGAGCTGAATGTTAATTCTAAGGGCAGGGTGTGTATGGAGCAGTGTCTCCATGGCTTATGGATGAAATCAAAGGAATTGTGTCATAAAAAGTACTATCTTTACCGGGTTCTTCCTGATATTTGTCAGCTTGTGCGACTGTTTAAGGCCACATGGTGCTCCATGTCCTAACACCACAGGGCTGTTGATGGTTTGGTGAAGTCGTAATTATCATTATAGTACGACGGTCACATTGAAATCTGCTCGGTTACTCTCTAAGAACATTTGTGTCAGTTTTACCCAAAATAAAATGCGTCTTCACGACTGATCTGTGTTTATTAGCTGCATCCTTTTAAAAGACGACAGTCAAAATGAACCACGACGGTCACCGATGAGGAGATTGTCCGACCTGGTGAGTGTGTGAGGAGCTGCTGATCAGACACTCACTGAGGAGATGAAGCCATGACGTCAGTAACACATAACAGAGTCCCACATCGGCTACGATCAGTGACAACCATCACACTATCAACGTATCAAAGTTCATTGTAAAAAATAAAGCGGGTCACATTGGTGTCAGCAGTGGAGACGAGCTGAACTATTCCTTTAATCCTTCTGGGAATAGAGTCAGAGAGTTACACACAGAGCAGAGAAGCTTTCTTTTTAACAAGAAGCACATATCAATTATTCAGGATGAAAGTTTTTTTTTAGGCCTTTCTTTGTTTCATACAATAGTCACTTAAAACAGGCGTCGTTCAGAGCGTGGCCACATACGGAGCGGTTCAATATGACATCAGGTGGGCGATTTGATTTCCTGTTTCCTCATCACAGCCTTTTTCAAACCTCCATATTAAAGCAAACCTTGACATACGGGATCTTACTGGAAGTGCAAAGTAACTCTTTATGTTCACAGTGGATTTATTTCAACAGTTGCATGAGATTGGAGTGTGAAAAACAAAAAGAGACAAAGACAACAGCCGACTATAAAAACAGAAAACAACCCGAATGCTTTTAGCAATACGTACATCAAACCAACTGATCCCTCATCTGCTCTCAGTAACGAGCCCTTCACTGCAGCACACATGTCCATCATAACACAGATTGGTTTCATATTTAGTCTCACTCTTTGTAGGTCAAGACAGAAACAACTTCACTTGTTTTAACACATGACACAGACTCTGTCGTCGTGATATGAACGAGAACCTTTGTCGCAATTTAAAATGTTCACTCTTTCAAAAAAAGATCAACTTCAGCTTCAAAAACCAAAGTTGAATTTGTCTAAAAGCTGCAGACCAAACTAATTCCATTGTCAAATAAAAGATTGAGAAGATCCATAAAGACCCAGTGCAGCTTGTGAAGCTCAGGTACGTAAGGCTGACAGGTTTCCATCATTTGTGCTTAGACAGCTGTGAGCAGTAACTGTAACTGTTTTTGCAAAGCAGAAGCTAAATGTTCTGCAGCTTTCAATAGCTTGGAGGGAATGACTATGCAAATACACACGAGTATTAACATCGAGTCTTTAAATAATGTAAACATATACATCTTCTTTGAGGTCAGAGCATTGATCCTCTTCATATCGGTTTATATATATATTAAAACAAGAAAGAGCAGAGACTACTGGAGCATCGTCCGGATGTTCTTCGGAGTGGACTCGTCATTCAGGTGTTTGGTGGTGAATCTGAGGAGAAACAACGGGGAGGTTAGTGAGGATCCACAGCACCCGTCAGCACCGATGACCGGACCCAGCTCCTCTTGGCCTACATTAGACCTGGATCCACTGAGGTCACTTTGGTGACAGAATGGATCTACTGAGGTCACAGTATGGATCTCTAATGAGGTCACTTTGGTGACAGAATGGATCTACTGAGGTCACTTTGGTGACAGAATGGATCCACTGAGGTCACTTTGGTGACAGAATGGATCCACTGAGGTCACTTTGGTGACAGAATGGAACTACTGGGGTCACTTTGCTGACAGTATGGATCTACTGGGGTCACTTTGCTGACAGAATGGATCTACTGAGGTCACTTTGGTGACAGAATGGATCTACTGAGGTCACAGTATGGATCTCTAATGAGGTCACTTTGGTGACAGAATGGATCTATTGAGGTAACTTAGGTGACAGAATGGAACTACTGAGGTCACTTTGGTGACAGAATGTAACTACTGAGGTCACTTTGGTGACAGAATGTAACTACTGAGGTCACTTTGGTGACAGAATGGATCTACTGAGGTCACAGTATGGATCTCTAATGAGGTCACTTAGGTGACAGAATGGATCTACTGAGGTAACTTAGGTGACAGAATGGATCTACTGAGGTCACTTTGGTGACAGAAT